ACACAAACGCCCGTTTAGTTAGTGAACTATTCTTATTGGTCCTTCACTGTGAGCTTCTAGTACATTCTTTGAGATTTGCTAGTGGAGACGTGGAATACAGTAAAGTCGAACTTTGAGGCTATAATTTGAGTGGCCAGTGAAAGTTGGCACCTGATCACTAAGTCCAAATAAGCATGCCTGACATCCTGAGTATTAGTCTTTAGCGGGACAAAGTTTGTTATCCTTCTTGCATTAACAGTATTTTTTGCAAATATTTCACTTTCCTAAGCAAATTTAGCTCCAGTACCTTGTGAAAGTGAAGTTGCCTCTGTTTTAACACAAATATCAGACTCTGGATGCTAGGACTTTCATTAGTTCCGTTTTATTTTCCGCGGAGATTGCTCTTCTCTGTTGTTCATAATTTTCGCCGGGATTTTTGCGTCAGCCTGTTCAACGAGTTTTTAGTCTTAATCGTAGTAACACAAATTTAAACATTTTGTACACAGTCTCTTTTCGTGCCAAGTAAATGTAGTTCTCACATACGTACCAGACATTTTGCCGTTAGTTGTCCAATTGTGATTCTGGTGCCGGGGCTTTTAGTTAGTTATTTTGATACATAGGATAAATTTCACGCTTTGAATATGAACCTTCGACGAGGGCCTTTTATGTTAATGGTCTTCTATTCAATTTATATGCGAGAGATTATAATTCACGAATATTCATTCTTTACCTCTGTTTCTTTTATTTAGCTGATGATCCGCAATATATTCCTCTTTTTGGATCGTCAGTTGCCAGTTGTGAATCCGAAGTATCTATGCTTATGGTGAGCTGCTCTTCTCGAATTTTTGTATACGACCCATACATGCCTCTGCTTACAACCGTCTAACTTTCCCCCAAGCCTTACTTCATTTCTATTTACCCCATGCGGCATTGGCATCCGCATCAATTGCACTGGTTTTATCAACCACCATGCCTTCTGATATCGCGTCCACGCTTCACTTTCTCAGTCCTCGCTTGTCTGATTGTGTCATC